GTTGATCCTATATACTTTTATTTATTGCACTCCAATCGGCTTTAGGAAACGCAAACCGTTCATTTTGTATTGTATTGGTTCCTTCCGTTTCAGTGTGAGTCGCTTTAGTGTATGCTAAATGATCGGATCTGTATGACTTGTTGAATTCGTTTTGCGTGGTGTAGTTCAGTAAGACATTTGGATTAATTGTCAAAAATATATCTAACTGTTGCTTTTTGTTTTGGCATAAACATTCCTCAAAGTCATTTTCGGAGAAAAGATTAAGAACTTTCAGTTGTAGCTGTCATTCGAGTCCATTGCATCTCAATTCGCGTGTACGAAGTTTTTTATCTCGCCTGTTATGACTAAAGTTATTATAATTTTCGTTTTCGCTAATCGCAATAAGTTCATTTATTTGATCGAGGATTCGTTGTTGACAAATTCGATAAGAACTTTTTTCAGTTGGGTTGTATAGACAGCATAGAATGATTGGTTCACTTTTGGGGGTCAATTTAACTGCACCACATTCACATTCTGTTTTTATGCTTAGCGGTTTATGTGGAATATCTCTGACACCAATTAGCACACCACCGTCTTTAGTTCTATGGTCATGTGTTGGTCTGTCGGTTGGACATATAACTTGGACATTACTTTCAATTGTTAAGTAGTTTGCAAGATGACTTCTACGTTTTAATTCAAGTAAACTGTGTATATTGTAGTTTAGTGCAGTCAGAGCTGGGTTTGATGCTAGTCAATTTGGTTCATTGTTAGTTTGGTCTAGGCTGACACATTTATTGTTTATTTATTTTTGTAGTACTAAGTTTCGTATACGTAGCTTTTTTGGATCATTATTTTGGTTTATAATTTCTCGTCGTTGTATTAATAGTTTGTTCTCCAGGTCCTATTCTTCCAGTGTGAGCTCTTTGCTTACATACACTGGCTTTGAAAATGTTTTGAGTTTTCTTAATGACAAAAGAATAAGGCGTTACGCATGTTGGCTGTCTAGCTCTATAACAATAGTTCGATTTCTTCCTTCGGTATATTTTCCTATTCTTTTGAGTTCCTTAATATTGCCCTCTACTGCAACATGTGCAATTACTGATTTTGCCTCATTGATGTCATGATCGAAACGCTCCCGGCTGTTGTTTGACCTGAGTTCTGGTATTCCTCGCAGTCTTATTCTGTCAAAAGCTTCTTAGTTAATGTGCTTTGGTTTTTGGGGTAGCTGTGTTACTTTTGGTTCAGGCGGGGGAAATTTCTTGTTATCCAAGTTTTCTTTAAGCTCCAAATCAAGATGAAAATGAAAACAAGTGTAATGTTCTCTCAATCAAAGGAGAAAGTAGTTTAATGCTTACAAATGCAGATTAGCTTAATGCTTACAACTGGCCAATTACAACGCAATGAGTCATTCGAAAATGAGCTCAGGTTAAACATAAAACCTGAAGTAGAAAGAAAAAAAATTACGATCTCAAATTAGCGCAACAACAGGAAAAATCAACATCAAAACGGCACCAAAAAAGGGCATCGAACTGGCTCCTTTCACAATACACGAAAAATAAGTTCAAGAAACAGTAATTCAAACAAGACTGCTCGTATCAGGGCGAAGCCCTGAAAGTTCCGACTGCCTTCTAACGTTTATGGAGCAGTAATAACATAAACAACATAAAAAAATAAATAGAAAATAAAATGAAAAAAAAAAAATTTCTTAAATTTGAAAATTTTTCTATGAAAATCATCCCCCCACACGCCATATAAATTACAAAACAATAGATTTCGATCCTTGTAACAAATTATTTATGGCAAATAAGCGTCTTACAACCAATTTGGAACGATTTCTAAGACGGATTAATTCTCCGCTTACGCGTTAATAGCGCGAATTATATCGCGCGTTAATTGTCCCAAATTGGTCAAAATGGCAATCTTTAAACCCCCATAACTTTACGAAAAAAAATCACAGGTGAAATATCTTTTCAAATTTAAGCTCAGGACAACAATAGCTTTCGAATGATATAAAAAATTTCCGTCAAAAATGGCTAGTTAAAAAGTCGAATTTTGTCTGAAGAAAAAAAAACTCACCCCGAGCACAAATATTCCGTTACTTTCTTATCGAAAGTCGGAACAATAAGGCGTACAGTTGAGATGTGCCAGGGAACCGCTGAAAACGCTTCATTACATGCCCCTTCATACAATCTTTTCCAATCACTCACTCACTTCTTCGTCCCAAATGTGGATCGTTGGACGGCGTACGCTTTTTTTAACTCTAAAACCTCTGCTGAAGAAGACGCTAGATTGATATAAAGGCTAATGGACGCTAGAAGGTCTTTTCAGTTGAACGTTTTTCGAAGTGACGATTTTCATGCTTCTGACATTCTAACTCATAAGTAGATTATTCGCAGGAGGATCTGTTTGCAACTCCTGTACGGCAGCGGCTGAGGCGGAAGATCGCAAAACTGATAAAGTGAGAGATTTAATTGATGATGGATATACTTTTTCTCTCATTAGCCTGGGAAAATCAGGGTGCTGCAGGCCCTAGCAGTAAGATTCTCTTAAGTAGGATCTGTAAGGAGGAACTCAGTCCAGGTAGTTTTTAAAGCATACTTTCTCCCTCGCAAATACTGATTGCTAACGCTGCTTCTGTGTGTGTGTGTGTGTGTGTGTGTGTTGAGCGAGATGGATGTCTAGTCGTCGTCGTCGTTTCTGTCCGAAATCGGTGGGTTTATCTTGTCCAGGAAGCGTTGCCATATTTCCAGGGCTTTTCTTGGGATGGTGGTCATCTTGTGTAGGTTCCAATCTTCTGGGTAGTGGTTCCTCATGGCAGGGCAATCTTCCATTATGTGTTCCATCGTTTCTTCGGCTAGCCCGCAAGTTCTGCATTCGGATTCAGTTTCATCATTGATCTTTATACGCCAGTAACGTATCTCCGTCGTGTCAGGTCCTCATCTAATGGGAACTTAGGGACTGAGTTGCTGTCACAGTACACTCTCTTGCATCTTGGGTGTTCCACACTGGTGTTCTTTATGTTTCTTCTTATTTTCGCTTGTGCTGAGTGATAAGTCCAGGGGATGTTGTCTTGCGACATAGCGCTACCTTCTGCTGCGCATCTGTCAGCTTCTTCATTTCCCCATAGGCCACAGTGGCTACGGCACCACAGGAAGACGATACCGACTTGTCGCTCGCCGAGGGTCATGAGGGAGTCAAGGACCTCTCTCTCCAGCCATGAGTTGGGACGCGGGTCACTCGTGATGCTCTCACAGCGTTGAAGTGCCGATTTCGAGTCGGTGATGATGCGGATCTGGCAGTCATGGTGGTCGTTGGAGGCTACGTGTTTTAGAGCATGGTTGATGGCCGTCAGTTCGGCTTGGAAACTGGAGGTGAGTTTGCCAGCGGGGTGACTCAGCATCGTTGTTTCCTCTTCTGGGTCTGAGGGCACTATCACTACTCCTGCTCCTCCGTTCTTGTTGCTTGTATTGATCTTGTAGGTGTCATGGTTTAGATTGATTGCTTCTTCTCCTGCCTTCTTTTTCGTCTCATCGTCCTGTCGTTTCTCTACGTTCGTGTAGGTGAAGGCGCAGTTAGAGAGTTTAGTCCATGGCGCTACGGGATCCGGGAAGGGTTCAGGGTTGCAACCTTCTGTGAATATCTCGTTCCATTTGTCTCGGGCATGGTCTCTCCAGTCTGTTTTCTTTGTACGCCGGTGTTGTGGCTTCTCTGCATTCTGGCGTCTGGGGTCTCCATCCCGTTGATGACCCAGTTCGAGGATCTGTGATCCCCCCCCCCACACACACACCACGAGGAGGTCTGGGTCGTTGTGTGGGTCGCTGCTTCTGTACTCAGCACTAGTAACAATGAAAACTATTTTCTAAATGTTTTATTTGTAGAGCCAAGGAACAAAAGCGCAGCCTGTTCTAAGTATCTGATAGACCCGTAGCCTCATATGAGGTGATTTTTTTTTGCGTTCCTCTCAACTCTGGTTTGTTCTGTGCACATGTTAGTTATCTCAATCTAGATGGCTTGATTCTCAACCATCTGACTCTCTTTACTTTTATTTATGTTATACTTGACTGGTACCTAATTTGTGAAATTCCAATAGTTGTTTGACTGGGTGAAATGTATTCATATATGTCTTATGGATTCGGCCTTATGGGCCCGTGATTACTCACTGAAACAAGATGAGTTTTGCTGTTCAAATGCTCCAAGTACTGGAGGTTAGTTCGTTGTAGTTGGTTTCAAAGTGTCTCCATTGGTAAAAATCATGAACTAGTACAGCTAGTTACTATGTTACTATGATAATTTCTGATCTATTAGTAGAAGAAAAAAACCTAGCGCATTGATGGAAACCGAAATTTTGATTAGTTTTTCCGAGCATGACTTTAATGGGCTCGGAACATTAATTAACTGTCGTGAGATGGACGCAGGGAGCAGGTGCAAAAAAAGAGTTCCAAACCTCTATATTTTGTCAAAAGTTTGTCAAATACTTGCCGCCGTCGCAAAGTTTTTGTCAAAAAGAAGATCTTTACAGCGTTTCGGGATAGCTGAAGTTTAGCCGATTAAAAAAAAGCTCGATAATTTTCAATTTTTCGGTTCCTTATTTTTTGATGTGGATCCAGGCGAATTTTTTTGGCTATCTAGAAACAAGAAAGATTTGGCTATCCGGAAACGAGATTATTTTTCGGCTAACCGGGAACGATTTATTCTTTCGGCTATTCGGGAACGATTTTGTTTTTCGGCTATCCGGGAACGATTTTATTTTTGGCTATCCGGGTATTTGGCTCCGTGACATGCCACGACAAAAGTGACCGGTAGGAAAATGTCGTGTTCAGAAAAAAGACTAAGTATAGGTTTTTTCGTTTCACTGCTACTATTATATTTTCCATTGTGTCACAAATATTTAATTATTTTGCGTGAAAATCAAGGCTATTGTTTGCAAATAGGTTAAGCCTAGTATGAATTACTTGTTAATGGATGTGTGAACTATCTAATAATCGCTCGTATATTCGTTTGCCTGCTTTTGTTGATTCTTTCTGTTCCGAAGATCACTCAAAATTTGTCTAAGTTCAATTTAGTTTGCCGAGCAAAATTCTTGGTTATTTCCATTGCGTTCGCTGCTCGTTATCTCATTAATCAACCTCGATTTATCTCAGTAAAATATCAGAAAGCTTGATTCGTAGGTTGAAATTAGCTGTTTTGTAATAAAAGAACGACGATTTCTCTGACTTAATTATGAATTTGCCTGCTGTTGAGTTCTCTTTGGACGAAGATTTGAGAAAACAAGAGTCGTCTGAAGAAAATGATTGGGAACAGGCTCTTACGGTGTCCAATCAAAATTTGAAGCAATTTCCCATTGAGGCCTTCGCAGAAACAAACAAACAAAATTTGAATATTTTGGTGGCTTCCAAAAACGAAATCACCGACATTCCATGTGAAATATCACTTTGCTTTGCCCTGAAACGTCTCGATCTTTCAAAAAACCAAATTGATCGGCTGCCTATTGAGTTGTTCACGCTTCCAAACCTTAATTATGTTGACCTTGGATCTAACTTACTCAGCGAATCTTGTTTGGATTTCTCCGAAAGCAGCGAAGTGATTGTCGCTGCTAGTCGCATTACACACCTCGTCCTCTCGAACAACAAGTTTGCAGTTGCACCTTGGTGGATTCCTTTAATGATTAAATTGTCTTATTTGCACATGGGAGCCAATTCTCTGAAATGTCTTCCTTCAGCAATTGAGAAGCTGACAAGTCTACAAGACTTGTATCTTGGTGGCAACAAGCTTTTGGAGATACCTGAGTCTATTGGATCAATGTTACAATTATCAAAGTTAATTGTAAATGATAATCATTTGGTCTCCATACCAGATGCACTTGCAAATCTGCGCAACCTCAAATCTTTAATGTTGCATGGAAACCGCTTGAAAGTTTTGCCACAGTCTTTGATTAAATTGCAGAATCTCGAGGAGTTGAGTTTGCGTGGGAACCCTCTGGTTGACCGATTCGTGCGATCAGTACACATGTACAACGTGCCTTCGCTTAAAGAACTGGCGAGTCGATTTGTCGTTAAAAATGGGCTTAATATTCAATTAGGCGATATTCCAGAAACACTGATGAACTTCTTGAAATCGTCTCAACAATGTATCAATCCTGCATGTGGTGGAGTTTATTTTACATCCTGCGTAGAACATGTGAAGTTTGTCGACTTCTGTGGGCGTTACCGGGTTCCTTTTTTGATATATCTCTGCTCACCGAATTGCGAGTACCCAGAAACTGATTCCTCCAGTAGTTCGGACGCTGAAAGTCTACTTGGAGTTTCTCCGATGCACATGAGAAGAGTTTTACTGGGATGAATAACTGATTATACGTTTTTACGTGCACGAATTAAGTGCCTTAACCAATTATCACTTGCTTGCTTTTAAGCAAAAAAATAACTGATTGATCAATTTAAAAAGTCGATATTCAATTTAAAGAATCGAACTTTTAGCAGCTAATTGTTTCAAAACTATTAAAAATGGCGAAACTTGCTCTGGCATATTGGTTGCAGTCGTACAAATTTAATCTCGATCATTTTTGTTGTTATGATTGCACAATCAACGGTTGTGATATAATACCAAGTTGTTGTCCAACTGATCGAAAAAAAATTTCGTTATTGATTAGCATGAGCTAATTCCGCTTCATCAATTTAGTGTTTTCTAAAAGATTCTTACTTTTCCGATGCTTGATATATTCCAGTCGTCTTGAAATTTTTTGAACTTTTAGAGCTCCTCCTGTGTGCCTTCGTTTCTTCTGCTTTGTTCTAGGACGTGTTGGTTAATTGTGATTGACTTGTTTGTTTATGAATATTTGACTTAGCCTGCGTCAAATATTCATAAACAAACAAGTCAATCACATATTTGGTAACAATAGAGAAGTTTGTCTAGCTTAATGGCTCCCAGTAGCGTGAAAGATGTTTTTTTTTCCAGTTGATTTCGTATTTCCTGTTCTGGCTCTTTTAAAAAGAATTCTTCAGCCCCAAACACGAAAGGAAGTACAAATTTGAGGTTTAAAATCAATGTTTTCAAAGTTTTAGAAGAATCCAAATCCAACATTTTGCGTATATTCTGTGAAGTCATTTTTGTTTTCATATTCATCGTGATTTTAAGCTACAGATTCTACTTACATATGTTCTTTGAAAATTTGACATTCTACAAAAGGTATATAAATCTTCCTCAATCAAAATTTTATCACTAGGAAAATGATAGTTGTTTTCGTCTTCAGGGCAATGTTTGTTTTTGTTATAAAAATATGTTTTTGTTGATTTCTGTTTTGTGTGGAGTAAATGAAGACAAGGGAGATTTTACAGGTGATTGTTTTTAGCTGCTAATTTTTTTGATGTGATTGTCTGCGGTAAATGTGCATGTTTTCGGTGGAGGTTTTTTGTTAAACGTCGACTATGCCCAGGTAAATTGAATTATTTCCTAGTATTTTTTTGTAATGCTCCTTTTTGTGGTATTCGCTTCGCCTCTGCGTTTCTGTTTCGATTGGTAGGTTCATCTTTAATAAGTGATAGTCCTTCTTTTTTTGTATCGCAAGTGGTGCGAAGCTCTGCTTCGCCTGTGTTGATTTATTTTTGGTTTATTTCAGTATTTTGAAAGTTAACCAATACTGATTTTTTTGTCTTGCTTTATTTTTTTTTCGCGCTGTCTTTTTTGGCCTCAATGTATGTTTCATCGGTTTAGTGACGTAATTTTTCTTCTCTTGAAGAGAAAAATAGATTTCTGTTCGGAGAGGGCAGTGTAAAAATTTCTATTCTAGGGATTTCGGATGTTTTTCATGACAACAATTTTGTTTTCAGCTCAACGGGTTTACCCAGCTGGCTTCGTTGCCAATCGTTAATGTTTTCTGAAAACTATTTTAACGTGGCGATTTTGTTTATGGACATGTTCACCTGAAAGTGCACATCATGTGCCATCCAGACAAGTTTTTGAAATTTTAGTGGTTGTTTTGTTTTTGAAATTTTTTTTTGACTCAGTGGTTCCGTTTCATTTTCTGATTGCTAAAACAATTTAATAAAAAACAGATGTACAGTGGCCGCTATAGGCTCTGCAGAACAGAACACAATCGCACAATTATTCAATTTCGAAAATATGGCCGTTTTCGGCTTTTCTCACTTCACCTTCGAATCCAAGAAAAGGGTGGAAAACCAACGATGATGATGATGCTAGTTTGTAATGCTATTTTTGTGGTATCCGCTTCGCCTCTGTGTTTTTATTTCGATTGGTCGGTTCATCTTTAATAAGTGATAGTCATTCTTTTTTTATATCGCAAGTGTTGCGAAGCTCTGCTTTGCCTGTGTTGATTTTTTTGTGTTTATTCCTGTAATTTGAAAGTTAACCGATACTGATTTTTTTGCCTTGCTTCATTTTTTTTCGAGCTGTCTTTTTTTTGGCCTCAGCTTATGTTTCATCGGTTTAGTGACATAATTGTTTTGTCGCTTGAAGGGGAAAATAGATTTTTGTTCAGGAGGGCAGCGTAAAACTCAGGAATTTCTATTCTAGGGCTTTCAGATGCTTTTCATGACAACATTTTTGTTTTCAGCTCAAGTTTTACTCAGCTATTGTCGGCTTCTTTGCCAATCGATAATTGTTCCTGCAAACTTATTTAACTCGGGCGATTATGTTTGTTGACATGTTCTCCTCACATCATTCCAGACAAATTTATGAAGTTTTTGAAAGTTTTTTTTTGACTCAGTGGTTTAGTTTTTTGACTCAGTGGTTTAGTTTCATTTTTTGACTGCTAAAACAGGTTTTAAAAAACAGATGTACAGTGGCCGCTTTAGGCTCTGCAGAACAGAGCACCTTCGTACAAATATATCGCTATCGAGATTATAGCCGTTTTCGGCTTTTCTCACTACACCTTCGAATCCAAGGAGGGGGTAAAAACCAATGATGATGATGATGATGATGATGATGATGATGATGCTAGTTTGTAATGCTATTTTTGTGGTATCCGCTTCGCCTCTGTGTTTATTTTTCGATTGGTCGGTTCATCTTCAATAAGTGATAGTCATTCCTTTTTTATATCGCAAGTGGTGCGAAGCTCTGCTTTGCCTGTGTTGATTTTTTGTGTTTATTCCTGTAATTTGAAAGTTAACCAATACTGATTTTTTTGTCTTGCTTTATTTTTTTTCGAGCTGTCTTTTTTGGCCTCAGCTTATGTTTCATCGGTTTATTGACATAATTTTTTTGTCGCTTGAAGGGGAAAATAGATTTTTGTTCAGGAAAGCAGCGTAAAACTCAGGAAATTTTATTCTAGGGCTTTCAGATTCATGACAACATTTTTGTTTTCGGCTCAACAGTTTACTCAGCTTTTGTCGGCTTCTTTGCCAATCGATAATTGTTTCTGAAAACTTATTTAACTCGGGCGATTATGTTTCTTGACATGTTCTCCTTGCATCATTCCAGACAAATTTATGAAGTTTTTGAAAGTTTTTTTTTTGACTTAGTGGTTTCGTTTCATTTTCTGACTGCTAAAACAGGTTTTAAAAAACAGATGTACAGTGGCCGCTTTAGGCTCTGCAGAACAGAGCACCTTCGTACAAATATATCGCTATCGAGATTATAGCCGTTTTCGGCTTTTCTCACTACACCTTCGAATCCAAGAAGGGGGTAAAAACCAATGATGATGATGATGATGATGATGATGATGATCATGATGCAAGTTTGCAATGCTATGGTTGTGTGGTATCGTTTCTGTGTTTCAATTGGTCCACAATGTAAAGTTTTCCTTTTGTTGTAGTTTTACGTTTTGCTGTGGCTTAATGATTTGTTTTTACTAAGTAAGGCATGAACAACGAATGTGTACACAACGGTAAGGTTCTTTTCTATAAAACTCATATTACAGTATGAAAACGTTAAATTTGTACCTGCGTGTGTTTGTGGATGGGTGGGTATTGGAAGTGCGAAAGAGCCCAATATTACTGGAATATACATTAATGTATATAAAATGAATGCTATATTTTTAGATGAAAATGGCTACGGATGTCAAAAGAGACCAAAAGATTCAACCGAGAAAATTTATCAGCCTGATATTTAGCGCTTCAATAACTCATTTGACCTATATGAAAAAGAAGTGTCTACGAGGTCAAAAGACCTCAGTTCTTTATAAATCACGGCACGTGCCTTTTTATAGAAATACGAACTCATTTTTGAAATGTCGTCGGATGAAACATTGGCAGCAGTACTGGAATCTAACTCTTCTCAAAACTCGGCTATTGTAGACACGCCCGAAACAAGTGCCAATGAAATTGACGCACCACCCGATCTGGTCACATGTGAGGACCACGCAGCCGTGGAGAATGTAATGGAAGGATTGGGTTTGGGCGATGGCGATCACCACGCTGGGGCTGGTGGGATAGACTCGTGTGCGATGGATGCGTTGGCAGCTCTGAGTTTCGCCAGTGGTCAATTGTTCTGTTGCCGAGTATATCAAGAGTCTGGGGGATTCTACCATGACTACTCGTGTGTGCAGTCAACGCTCAATTTAGAAACGAGGCTAGTATTGTTCTTTGTATATAAAAAATCCAAAAAAACTTACGTGGCAATTCGCCTGTTTTCAAGATGCTCGCTGGCTCCGGATAACAACCAAATGATTCCCAATTTTTAGTTTGACAGTATTGAAATGGCAAGAACTTTCGGCTCTTCTTCAGTTCTCCCCTTTGATTTTGTCTGAAAATCAGTATATCGAAGTCTATTTACTTTTGCGATTAGCTTAGTGTGATATTACGAACCTTCTTTTTTCTAACCTAACTCGCAAATAAAAGTTCATTAAAAGTGTTCACTTATTTGGAAATTTTACTGTAGCATTGGAAATTGCATAGCATCTGTTCGCTGCTTTATTTGTGACTGAGTGTTTAATGGTACTATTAAGCTTTCGTGGTTAGTGTGTGAGACTTTAATCTCTAGGTCGCTAAATTTTTATTATTGCTTTTATAGAGCTGCTTTTTGCCGTGTTCTCGCAAGTGTTTGCGAAACGAAGCTTCGCCTCTGTGTTCAAATTTTTTGTTCCTGTTAAACTGCATTAAAACGTGTCAGCATTTCTTACATGCAAAATGCCGTGTGAACAATTTTTGAACAGCTTTATTTTGTAATTTTACGAGGGGGGTGGAAAACTGGAAAAAAGACGAACTTTGTTATGCCCCTTAAGACTTACCTCAGATTTAAAAAATGTTCTTTCTTGAAAAACTAACAAATCGTTTTTATATCATATTTTTGTCTTTTTCCATTTTCCCGCCCCCTCGTAAAAATGAATTATAAAGTTGTTCAAAAATTGTGTCATAGGGTGTAGAAAATGAGTTTGCATGTAGAAAATGAAGGAACATTTGTTCACGCTGACTTGTTTTGTTGCAGTTAGATTCAAAAGTTGGGGAGGCCGAGACGAACTTTACATAGCCATTTTTGTGTATGATTAGTGCTTCGCCAATTCAACGGGCAGTCGGAAAGAAGTTCCGTATGGAAAGAGATTTTGACTCTTTTTCCTTTTCCGCCCCACCTCACACGACTATCAATTTTATGTTGTACCGAGTGGTTTGCAAGGTTAATTATGGAGAGTATATATGTTTGGCACAGCTTAATTAGTCCGCGTGTCAATTTTCATGACGATCGGACAATATGAACAATAGTATTTCCGAATGTAGACAAAAACAGCAAGACAATCAAAATAAACCTCAAAAATATAAAGAACCAAATAAATCATTCTATCAATACATGAAAAAAGATCAAAATCTACCGAACAAAACAGTCTACAGCAACAACAGTTCAGGAAAACCACTCCCGAACAATACAAATTATACAAGAAATCAATCACCATATAACTCAAGTTATAGAGGAAGATCACCAGAACGAAGAAACACGAATAATTCATCACAAAATCACTACAATAGACCAAATAGTCGAAATAACTACTCCAGATCAAATTCAAATACACAACGATTTGTTTCTAGATCTAATTCCCAATCAAGAAATAACTACTATCCAAACAACCAATCACGAAATTCATCATACAATAGGAATAGAAACTACTCCTATAATCGAAATAGAAGTTATTCAAACAACCGAAACCAGAATTACCCGAACAATCAATCAAGGAATAACTCATATAATAGATCGAACTATAACAGACCAAACAATAATTACCAAAACAGATCGCGAAATAATTCACAAAATCGACACTCAAGTTATAATAATCGTTATAGAAATTATTCCCAATCACCACACCGGAATAATAATAACTATAATAATTCTAATAATCGCCACAGAAGTAGTACACCTAAACATCAAAGACAAATCAATCAAGTACAATCTAACCCAGAAACAACATCAGACCCTCCAGGTATTGATGACACAGTAACTGATACGTTACAACTCAATCAAATAAACTGTACATCATCAGATTCAGAAAGTGATACTGAAAACACTCTTTCTATCAATATGATAAAAGTCGAAAATGACTATGAATCTGTCATATATGAACAACCCTTTTCATCACACATATATGAAAATCAATCAGAATTTCTTCAAAATTATTACACTACACCCATAAATTCCACACCAACGACACAAGAAACAAATGAGATTAACACTACAAATCAAACCAATAAAAATACCAAAACAAAATGCTTGAATACAAACCACATTTATCAAAATATACAAAAAGAACAACCCAAAGAAAAAATTTGGACAATACCATTTCTCTTAGAAAGCCCAAGAAATAAAGAATTTCAACCACCAGACCTTGAAATAGATTTTTTAATTGATTCAGGAGCAGAATCAAACATAATAAACATCCCCACATGGAATGAAATAAAAACTTTACACCCAAAGCTAACACCTCTTGAAACCTCCAGTAAGTTAGCAACAGCACAAGGATCAACATTGATAAACTACGGAAAAATCCAATTATTTCTCCTCCCCACCAGAACAATGGAGCAAAGCAAAATTTTAAATAAGCCATTTAAACAAATATTCCATATCACTGATATTAAATATAATATCATTGGAATACCATTTATTTCGAAGTATATACCAACAATTAACATCCTAAATAGTAAAATATTAATCAAAGATAAATATACAAAAACAAAAGAAACATCCTTAACATTTTTTCAAAGATTAAATAAACAACCACCATTCTTTTCAAAATTCTACCCGATATTTAACCAACAAAGAAAACACCTAAAACCACTATCAGGAAATATCTATAATTTTTCAATGAAACAAGTTCACCAATATGATAAAGAACAAAACAAACAAAAATTTTATATGTCAGAATTTGAATTCAAACCTATTCACAAATTTTTCAAAATCACAATCTCATCCATAAAATATTTGAAAAATTCGAATTCCGATATCATTTCCTTACATGTCTATAACAACACACCTTACCAAGTAACATTACCGTTAGGACTTTTAGGATATTGTGAAACCAACGCTACAATATCACCAATACACGAAAAAGCCTATCGCGTAAATAATATACTCCAATTACTAGATATTTGCCAATCTACAATTCTTAATGAAGAATTATCTATAAATAATATAATAAGTAACGAAAACAGAAATATGGATTATTTCACAAAAACTCCATATTTCAAACCTACATTCAACATAAGTAACTACACAGAGGACCAACAGAAATTTTTAACAATGTTTAATTTCCAACATTCACAAATAACACAAGACGAATTCGAAAAGTTAGCCAAACAGCTAATTGAATATTCATCAGTCTATGCAACATCAAAATTCGATGTTGGAAAAATCAGTTCATCACTACATCTCCCGTTAAAACCAGACGCAGTTTTCAAAAAACAGAGAGCAAGTAAAGTACCGATTCACTTACATGATAAAGTGAACAGATTACTCGACATTTTAGAACAATACAACATTATATCACCAGTAAACAAAGAAGAACAACCAAAAGGCAACACATTTATCAACCCCGTTATCATTCTAGCTAAAGGAGAATCATTAAAAATCGTTCTCGATGCTAGATACCTCAATTCACTTATAGATGAATCAAAATGTAATTGGCCCATTGAACCAATACAAGTTATTTTAACAAAAATAAACGGCAAATACTTTACAACCGCCGATATGAATAGTGCATACAATCAAATGCCACTAGATGAACAATCACGACGTTTAACACAATTTGTTATCGGAAACCAACAATATGAATTCAACCGCTTATTCTATGGAATATCCATAGGACCAGCAGCATTTTCAGCTTTTATGAGCAAAATTTTTAGACCACTAATACTCAAGAAAAACGCAATCACCTATCTAGACGATGTTTTTATGCAATCACAAACAAAAGACGAGATGTTCAATGTTCTAGAAAAATATCACCAAATACTTCAGAACGAAAATCTGAAGGCCGCCCCCGATAAATCACACTTCTTTTTGACAAGAGTTAAATTCTTAGGACATAATATAGAAAGAAAAACAATCACTCCATTGAAATCACGCATTGACGCTATTCAAAAACTTCAACCACCAACAAATAAAAAGAAAATCCAAGAATTTCTTGGAATGTTAAACTTTTTAAGTAAATATGTTTATAAAATGCAATTATATCTACGACCATTTTATAACATCCTTAGACAACAAAATAACTTTGAATGGAACACAGAACATCAAACACGATTTGAAGAAATAAAGAAACTTTTAACTGAACAAATTTCAAACACAATTCCAGATTCAAATCAACCATTTTATGCAATGTGCGATGCTTCGAACTTTGGCATCGGTGCAGCACTATTACAATCACATAATGGTACAAATAAAATGAACCTCATATCAGCAAATTCTCGATTATTCACTCAAGCAGAGCTACGACTCTCAACTCTAATGAGAGAATGTACAGCCATAATATATACACTGACAGAATATGAATTTCTGATACTTGGATCAAAACATCCAACAGTTCTATTCACAGACCATAAACCAATCATCTTTCTCTTTACACAAAAATCTAACCCAAACCACCGAGTTTACAGATTTCAACTAATTCTAATGAAATTTCCAAACTTACATATAGTTTGGACTGCTGGAAAAAATCTTGCATTACCAGACACCTTAAGTCGAAATACACCACCTGAATTACTTACACGAAAAACAACAGTTGAAATACCCAAAAAACATAAAATTCTACCTTGCAGAAAACGAAACATCACCCCGATTGGAATGCAAATATGCAGTAAAAACTGATATTGAACAATCACAAATAAATAATTTACAACATTTCCCACTTTATTTAGATTGTCAAAATAATCATTATGAAGTTGATCTACTTGGAACATCAACTTTCAAACCAATTCCATATTCTCAATGGATAAAAAATAACACCCAACAAAAACGAACAAAACAACACCCGCCTAAAAAAGACCATTTTCCACTAATTGAAAAAGAAGATTTAACTGATAAAATAAATTTATCAGGACCACAAACAAATGATTCAAAATACACAATAAATCAAGTTTTTGACCATCACGACC